TGAACCCCCCCCTCTCTTCCCCCCTGCCCTCCCCGGGGGGGGGAGGGGGGGAACAAAGACATGTGGCAATTTGGCAAACAATTCCTCGCGTCAAGTGATCTTCCAATAGCACAGGTTCATTGCAGAATAGATGTCCGTATATGCACACGCAGGTAGCACTAGGGAGTTCGTTGGCCATTGCACAATTATGGCTCAGTGACTCGAATTGATCTGACTTGTCTCGTGGTCTGCCCACTAAGCGGTCGGTCACTATAAGGAAATACTCATATACTATAGGCCCTCGTAATCGCCAAAAAATAGGCGGCCAGATCGAGTCCCTGCAAAACGAGGACTACCTAGATCTGGCCCCTCATTTTGAGCAATTTGCCATTTTGAGGCCTAATATGAGTATTATACTCAACTATTCTTTCTTCGGCCTCTCTCTTTCGAACTCGCCGGGTTTCACCTGGGGCAAGGTCCCACTTGCGCAAATTAGGAGATTTCGACCGTTGATCTTTGCTATCTACGGTCAGTATCTCTTAATTCGTGCAAGTGGGACCTGGCCCCTGATCAAGTGAACGACCATTTACCCCTCGAAATCCCACGCTACCTCAGGCCACGTGCTTGGCCAAGCTCGCCGAAGGCCTGTTGGATTCAATCAGTCAGGCTTGGCCAAGCTCGCGTCGAGGTCTGATCGACCAATCCCGTGAGATCTTTCTGTGACAGCTCCGCATTGTATTAATCAAGCATCGGTCCGTTTGTCGGAATATGCTGACAACCCTCCCTTTTTTTTCATCAGCGATACCGGTTTCGCCCGAATAGTATCGCTAGTACCACTGTTTCTGGAGTGAAATTTTGCACTACTGTAACTACCGCTATAATGACCGGGCGTTCTACTCGGGTGAAGACGGAATGGCATAATAGTACTAAGTATTTTCCGACCCACAAACATAGTAGCATGTGATTACCGCACTACTACCGTACCGTCTTCAACCGAATAAAACAACACCCGGTCATTGTCACTGCATCCAGTTTGGAGGGTCGACCAAATACAGGCTTATACAGCTATAATGACCGGCGGGCGTTCGGTGGTGGCATATTGTCGTTAATTGACCCAGCATGCAAATGTCAGTGGGGCCACAGCCAAAATTGTACCGTGGACGCCCTTCCAGTCCGGAACAGACATGCACCTGGCCATCTAGTCATCCAGGTTCATTCCGTCATGTCGAGCCAGGCAGTACGAATTCCCAGCTTGCACTCGAATTTTTTTTTTGCCCTGTCCTCTCTGCTAATTCCGACGATTCCCACTTAATAACATACCCAACAGCTGTGCGGCAATTCCTGCCAATGTCGCCGGGCGTGCGACGGTTCCCGCCCCACCTCCCCGCCGACGTTTTCAGCAGAGTGCGTCAATGCCCACACTCGAACCCACCCACTCACTATGATCCCGTCCCCGGAGAGTCATCTCACTGCCACCCTCAGATCGTGAGATGATTTACTGGAGATAACCAGCGCAGAAGTTGGAACCTACACCTAGAGATAGACCCTCATTCTGACTGTATCTGGCCGGAAACATACCTTGTATACTTCCCTTTTCAGGGTGCGTTATGTTCGGGGGAAGACGGTAGTAATGGACCGCCCAACTCGCCTGTCCTTCGACGCCCTTCCCCTCGGGGTGAACGATCGGTCGGAAGCGATTCCCCCCAGCAGAGCCAGAGCCGGCACAGGCAAAAATAAATTGGCACTAAGACTCAAATTACGTCGTCGAGATCAAGCTCGCAGTCTGGCGTTCAAATACAGAGCGCCGTCGGACGCACACTCCTAGTCATGCAAAGGAAATCCGACGTTAGCTTGTCACCGCAATGAACGCTCATTGACAAGCGATCACCTTTCTTTCCGCAAAGAGAGGTCGACGTCAAATAAAATGGAGCGAGGTGAATTGAGGAAACCAGCACTGAACTTCGTGACCGCCACCAGGGCTTCCTTCACTTACCCTCTTCCAGTGATGTATAGCGAGAACGTGACTCGTGACCACAATCACAAGTTAGGCAACTACATTCAGTCAAGTGCGGGGGAGAGCAAGCGAGCGAGCCTCGGACTGCAATTGATGGTCAGGAACTTGATTCAGGCTCGACGGAAACGAGAGGGCTCTCCCTCGATTATCTGGAGTGCCCGACGAAGCACGTGCCACGTGATACTCCGACACTCGCACTAAAAAGCGCACGAATCCAAACTCCCCCGAAGAATCTTCCTGCATCTGAATCTGAACGAATCGAGGGCTCTCAAGAATTTCCATCTCCTTACCTCTACCTCATCAGATTCTCACTTCTCTTCATTTCATTTTCATCTCACAGATTCGATACCAGTTATATACAAGCCCAAGCCCACTCGAGACGCCCTAAAGACAAGATCTGAATTACGGAAATTATGCAATTTAAACGGACAGCGAAGGACACGACTGCAACCTCCGTTCGAGATTCGAGAGGAGCCATCATTCATTGATGAGATCGAGGCTTCTGAGAACGATGCAACGAACCAGCAACAAACGTAGCTACTAAAGGAAGGTAATTAATGCGCACGCACCTCGGTATGCACCGTACAGTGTACACACTTGTGCATCTGGCAGCTGCTGGCTGCATCGTAAACACTAGTAACAATGTTACCCTATAGGTGCCGAGTTCAAAGCCATTCCCCTCAAAACTGACTCCTTATACTAGAACTCAATTCCCCTCAAAACTGACTCCTTATACTAGAACTCAAAAGGCTATTAGTCATTCAGCAACAAGAGACCTGGTGTGTTTGACCGCGTTCTACCTCCACTGTTCTTTGAACAGTCCAAACACCAAGCCATACAAGCAGAGGGCAGAGAAGGGGAAGATACAGCACAAAAAATGTACAGAAAACGAAGGAAGAAGCAGGGGCAGCACAAAAAATGTACAGAAAACGAAGGAAGAAGCAGGGGCAGCACAAAAAATGTACAGAAAACGAAGGAAGAAGCAGGGGCAAACGACAGAAGCGCCATAAAAATGCAGGGAAAGAAGAGTGCAAGAGAAAGGTAAAACGAGAGACAGACAGAGCGAGAGCGAGAGGAGCAGTAACGGAAGGACGAAAACAGTTTCTCAACATAAGACGCGGGAGTTTTTCAAAATGAGACGAGCTACGGACGTACGCCTTTTCCCGTAACATTATTCGGGGCTATACAGAGACTTGTGGTACAGACACATCTAAATCATGTACCTCAATGGTTCGATTGACGGAGCGAATTTCGCTCTCATTTCAAAGTAAGAAGAATTAATTGTTTAGTTTTCGGACAAGAGTCCACGGGGGTGGTGGGCTCGTCCGTCCAACACTGCCACCGTTCAAGCTGAGCTGTGCGGCTGTGCGTTATTACAGTGAAGAGACAGGAAACTTCGCCTGGCGGCCTTGACATGTTTGAGACGTCTCTTGAATCTTGATACACGGTTCAGCCAAAATACAGAACGGCGAGGCGTCAGCCCCCTCGGCCCCCTTTTAATTAACTACTCAACGCCTCATGTCTATTTTATTTTTTTCCCCTTCGACAGCGACTCCTGCATACTCCTCTTCCTGCTGCTCGTCCTTCACTATAAGTCTATGACAAATTGAGAAAACCGAATAGACGAAGTAGTGTGCGCACCTGGCTCGTTTGTTCAAGATCACCGCTCGCAACTGCCATCTCCGCGCCATCGCTCTCCATTAGCCTCTGCACTTCTGCCGCCATGATTTTGAGCCACGTGATTGGCTCACAGTTCCGTCTCGTCTCTCGACGAACGGAGGGTTGAGAATAAAACTCTCAACGCAAAGACGAAAGGAACAGAAGAACTCCAAGGGAATAATATAGCTATAGGAAGATTCAGAAACGAAAGATGAACAAGACAGGACGGGGCACATGCGTTTTCTTTTTGTAGATGGATGGATGGATGTATAACAACTGCTGAGCTGCACTTGCTAGTATGAGTGTGTGTCGAAAAGTTCTTAGACTAACAAAACAATGAAAACAAAAGGTGTCAGGGTATGAACGACGCGGCGGGCTGCGCGATGAAAGGGAGAGCCGGCAGTCGTTGAGGCGCTCTCAAGCGCCTGACCTGCCCACCCTTTCTACCCGCTTCTGAAGCAGGAACTCACGCAATAGTCTCCCCTACGCTACTGCTCCACTTATCTCCCCAATTTGCTACAACTCGGATGTGCCACTTCTGCTCAATTCCCTTGCAAGGAGGATTATCTATCACCTTCCCTGCACAACCTCTGTTCTGCGCTCCGTTGGCCAGAACTTCGCCTGCTCTTTTCTCTTGTTCTTCTCCTTCTTCTCTTTTTCTACATCGACTATAGCTTCAACTTTCTCTTGGCATCATTTCCTTCTTCTCTCACGTGCGCACACGCCCAACTACAGCGACTGAAAGTTGTTCAGCCGCTCAGCCGATCTACCAAACAGACAGAGCTTCAACTTTCTTTNTCTTCTCTCACGTGCGCACACGCCCAACTACAGCGACTGAAAGTTGTTCAGCCGCTCAGCCGATCTACCAAACAGACAGAGCTTCAACTTTCTTTTGGCATCATTTCCCTCTTCTCTCACGTGCGCACACGCCCAACTACAGCGACTGAAAGTTGTTCAGCCGCTCAGCCGATCT